CGTTTCCGCAGCAAAATCTAGGAGTTTTATATCACTTTGTGAACCTCTATGTCGTGATTATTTGCCGAGATTCGCAGAAGCGGTGTTACCTGCTCTTCAAAGCCACCTCAAACAAAATTAAAGTGTAAAATCGTAGCGAAGAAATAAGAATTTGTCTTCTCGTGAGCAGGTCGTACAGGTAAGGAAAGAGGTCGACGTAAGACGGGCTATGGGAAGCGACTGAATGCAACAGTGGCTCTTGCAATATCAAAACTTCCCCATTTACCTGAAATTCTCGAACTTTAGAGCTATGGTATATAGTCTCAGAGTATTCATTCACACATTTCATCTGATTATGATTTTCTTTGTCACTCATGAAGAATTAATTTGAAGCATTTTCCAGGAGATTCATTGTGCCCTTTTTTGTCTAGACCCGTCACACTTCTTATGGATTTTTCTGCTTGTCTCACGTCCCATTTTATTATTGTGACTGGCCTGTTGGTCTAGAGGCATGATTCTCGCTTCGGGTGCGAGAGGTCCCGGGTTCGACTCCCGGACAGGCCCCTATTGCCCATGATTGCCTACAAGTTATTGTTTCTCCATTGAGTTAAAGGTGTAGGAAAGACTATCTAGAAAGATTACTCCAAAAATGTCTAAATCTGTCCAATCTCTTTTTTTAAGTTTGTTTTAAGTTTTAACTCACTGCGGACAACAGTTTTCAGGAAACCGACCCATACGGACAAGTGACTCGGCTAGACATCCTTCAGCTTAACATCATTCATGGCCGGCCACAGGCCATCAGAACTCTGACGAAATGTGCAAGGCTATTTTATTACACGAAGGACAGCTCCTGCAACGAAAACAAATACGTTGACCATCTCTCTTTTTTTTTAAGAAAAACTACAACAACGGCTACACGCGACAAAACAGAGAAAGATCTACTAGGTCCGTTGTTGATGCGTGTGTTTGATCTTACTAATCATCTCTTTATCTGCACCACGCTTTGCAGACTGAAGAATTATTTTTTTATCATATTACGTCTCTCATATTTGCTCAGAAAAAGTGAATTATTCTTTATCGGATTGGGGAATTAGCTCAAATGGTAGAGCGCCCGCTTTGCAAGAGGGAGGTACCGGGATCGATACCCGGATGCTCCAATTGGTGCCCTTGCCTTGACTAAGCATCTCTTTTGTAAACTTCAACATCTGGCTATTTCAACAAATTTTAGCCACTGTTTAACAAAACCGCGTTCTAGGCCACCTTCGCCTCAGCCAAACCTTTTTTCTCAACATTTATTTTTGTGTCAAAAGGGCCGAAAGCTGATAGTGGAGGGACGTTTATTCAATTAAATCAGCCCTCTTCTGGAGAATCCCTGGGTTAGAACTCGTGTATATAACCGACCCCAAATGTCCAAATAAAGGATGACCAAGCGGATACCGACGCTTACGCTACTTTTATAATTCGCGTGTATCGTTATTAATTAACTTGCTCAAGAATTGATGAGGAGGATAAAGACCATTTTGAAATTGTGTCTTAGAATGTGTTGTTCTCTTCGAACTCAGACTACCAATCAAATCTTCTCCAACAATTGTCTTAAGGCACATTAAATTAATTCAATTTTCTATGGCGACGATGAAGGCCTATATAAATGTTCGATTCTAAGAAATTATCTCAAGACAAAATCAGGACTTTGGCTGATGTCCTTCAAAGAGTTAGAAATTGGTATATGTGCACACCAAGAAACAACTCAAAACATTTCTATAGGTTTTCACCGTCGCTATTAAAAGTTGAATCAATTGAATATGGTTTAAAACAAACTTAAAAAAGGGATTGGATAGGTAGACGTTTTTGGAGTAATCTTTCCAGAGAGTCTTTCCTACACCTTAAACTCAATGGAGAAACAATAACTTGTAGGCAATCATTGGCAATAGGAGCCTGTCTGGGAGTCAAACCTGGGACCTCTCGCACCCGAAGCCACTAGACCAACAGGCCAGTCACAATAATAAAATGAGGACGTGAGACAAACAGAAAAATCCATATGAAGTGTGACGGGTCTGGACAAAAAAGGGCATAACGAATCTCCTGGAAAATGCTTCAAATTCATTTCTCATAAGTGACAAAAAAAATCATAATCAGATGAAATGTGTGAATGAATACTCTGAGACTATATGTCATAGCTCTAAAGTTCGAGAATTTCAGGTAAATGGGGAAGCTTTGATATTGCTAGAGCCACTGTTGCATTCAGTCGCTTCCCATAGCCCGTCTTACGTCGACCTCTTTCCTTCCCTGTACGACCTGCTCACGAGAAGACAAATTCTTATTTCTTCGCTACGATTTTGCATTTTAATTTTGTTTGAGGTGGCTTTGAAGCACAGCTAACACAACTTCTGCGAATCTCGGCAAATAATCGCGACATAGAGGTTTACGAAGTGATATAAAACTCCTAGATTTTGCTGCGGAAACGCAAAAATCGTTCATAGGTAGTGGTGGGTGCAACAAAGATTTCATTCCAAATCATGACCTCTGGTCATCTGCAGTGTTTGCACAGACATGCAGAAAACTTTCCTAACCAACTCGCAACGGTAAGTTTTCCAACCTCCAATGCTCTTATGAAAATAAGAGTGTTTAAAAACATAAAAATGTGTGAATGAATACTCTAAGACAATATACCTTAGCTCTGAAGATCGAGAATTTCAGGTAAACGAGGAAGTTTTGATATTGCATGAGCCACTGTTGCATTCAGTTGCTTACCCTAGCCCATCTTGCTTGCACTTCTTTCTTTCCCTGTGCGACCTGCTCACAAGCAGACAAGAATGTTTAAAAGAATAATTATTTGGGTTTGCAAAAATTGAAATTGGCGCATATATTAGGCAAGTAGTATGTGATAGCGATCGTAATAGTGACAAAAGATCACTTGCGCCTCTGACAGGGCTTGCGACTTTCCGCGTGTGAGGCCGGCGGACGTGATAACAACTACACTATAGGAACCTTAACTACGAAAAGTTATTAATCTTATAAAACTGAAATAAATAGATAAAGTAATAGAAAGAGAAAAAAAGGAAAACCATAAAATTATCTACATGGAAATAAAACTAGAATATTTTTCGAAGAATTTGAAGTGCAAACGGGAGAAACATATGCGCGTCGATATTCACGTCAAGTAAACTGTGTTAGCAAGAGTAGTTTTATTAGATTAACTTTTAGTTGCTGTTGGAAACAGATTCTATTGAAACTCCACTCAAACAAAACTCTCCATAAAGGATCATCGATATAGACAAGCCTTTGAGAATTAGAGTAAAACAGCACACTACAGATATTTCTCCAATAGGCGCTGAAAAATCACTGTTGGACAGCGGTGGTTTTCGTGTTGTCGTACTTGGGATGTACCCCCCTAAACCCCGAGCCTTAGTAAAAGATCAAAACGTATCAACGTAATTGTCCTTTTTGTTCTAAATGAATAAAAGTGAAAGAGACACTTTGACTCTTGAATTACTATCAAACATGAACTTAAAATGAAATGTTCCAGTGTGCATAACTCCCGTGTCACCCTGACAGCCCAACTTCATCAGAAATCAGGTTGACAGAAACAACCGAGCCTGTTCCCACAACACACTCCTCGATTCTGCCGTTAGTCTGTTAGGAACGTGGCATTTCAGACATGCCGTATATAACAAGTGCGTACATGCAAGTTTCTGTAGTGTAGTGGTTATCACGTCCGCCGAACACGCGGAAGGTCGCAGGCTCGAAACAAATGTTGTCACAATCGTCCGCACTATCAGAAATCAAAGTTTTATCATCATCCTCTTGTCATAATAATTTTTTCTGAGTATTTTGAGGGTGAGTTAACTAAAACACGCGCTTCCCGGTGGCTACCAAGTCTGGATTGTTCCGTCTATGCTCGTGTAAAGACCAAATGAATAAACTTGTCGGTATGACACCTCTCCTGCACCATTTACTAAACTTCTGTCTTTCGATTATTTGTTGGGATTCGCACGAGTGATGTTCAATGCTCCCAACAGAAACCAAGAACGAAATGACAAAATAGATCCGCAACGAGTACACTTGTGCGCGTAGAACACATGAGATAAAATTTCACATGCAGTAGTTTATCAAAAGCAGTACGGCATTTCTAAGAAAATTTAGGAATGGATATCAAACATCCGTGTAACACGTTGACTTCTTTCATTTAATTATTTATAGATCAGAAACTATGTTCGCATCATATTCCACAACAAAACGGGCATCTCCAGGAGTCGAACCCGGGACCTTTCGTACCCAAAGCGAGGATAATGCCATAAGACCAACAGCCATGAGTTCACCATATTATCAATTTGATTTCTTTTCTGTCCCAGATATTTTTGCTAACATCGGAGAGTTGGTATCTAAACCTGCGAGTCTACTAGATAGGCGCTCCAACCAACTGCGACCCGAGCAATAATCTTGATTTAGGAAAAAACTAAACTGAAATCGAGGGACAATCGTTGCTACAAGCCGGCACTATTTTAGGATCTCTTTGAGGAAACTACAATAGAGACAGGTGAAATTAATTTGATGGTCTTGGCCTTGATCATAGTTTCTAATCATCGTAAAGGACGTAGCAGATGCACGCCATGTCTTACTTGTGACCCGTTTTTTGTTTTTTTTTTAAAATTGCTTTACCACTTTAGATGCCATTGACGACCTGAAACGTCGTCACAACTGACAAAATACCACGACAGAGGAACAATCCATAGCCATATGACAAACGTCTGTTACCACGATGATCAGCAGCAAAAACATCATTAACTCTTTAATATTGCTCAGTTTGAGAGACTCAAGCAAGATTTTATAAAGAGGCTCAAAGCAGCTGCTTCGCCTGTATCCAGACCTCCTCCTGCCTTTGAAAAGACGCAAAGATTAGTGGTCGAGAACCTCATTGTTTCTCACACAAAGTCAAGGAGGATGTATTGTAGATGCACTCTAGTCGTGAGGACTACGACAGGAAGAGTGAAATGGGATGGCAATCAGTTTCATCTACCACATGATTTTATTTAAAGAAATCCGTGATAACGTTTTTCGTTCATTCAATCGAGGCAACCAAAGTCAGAGAAAAAAAAAAACAAAAACAATCGAGAGCCAGCACAGATGTCTTTGTTTGCTTTCCAGGTGATTATCTGTCAATGGTATAGTCTGGCAATAATAACATTTGAGCGCAAAAGGAATCGTCCCCGGGATTAATTTAAAACTTAAAGTGAGAAGGAAGCCGAAATAACTTCACATAAGCCGATTTATGAATACGAATTTTGCAGAAACACAACTCAATGGTCGTTAGCTCAGTCGGTAGAGCGTCGTGAGTTCGATCCTCACACGGACCAGTTTTTGTTTCAATAAAGCCATCTATGTGTCTGTATTTTATTTTCACCTAGTAATAACTTTTCCAAATTTATCGGTATAATAATCTCCAACAACAGGAGACAATTACTTAGATATGTTCTCGTGAAAAACCCATTTTCAGACCAAAGTTAAGTAGATAAAAATTTCTTTCAAAATTCCTCTTCATGAAATTCTTTCTTTTGAGAGAAAAGTGAGGCTGGAATAAACGAAAACGCACTTAAAACGCACTTACCTTTGCCGGCGAATCACTTTGGAACATTTTATCTATGTTATGCTTACACAACCAATGAAAGTTTTAAAGCGTTTACTCACCAAAATCCAGTAATGTCATGACGCATTGGGAACCTCTCTATCGCGATTATTTTTCCGAAGACCACGATAAGAGTTACAGAAGTAAAAAAGAACAAAATCAAATGAAGTTTGCATGTCTTTTGTTGTTTACCTTGCCGGAATGTCCGCCTCGTATTAGTCTCGATGGCCGATATGTATCAAAAACAGTGACATTCCTTTCCAGTTTCATCTCCTTTAGATTCCTGAGAGGTTTACAAGTTTTCTGTCATCAATGGCAAATATGAGAAAAAAAAGGTGGAGAATCCGGGCAGGCGCTCTACCGCTTGAACTAATTCCCCAGCTACAGCTACATATATAAACACCCTCGTGAAAATCGTTCGACGAAAGGCTCAGCCAGTCTTGCAACTGTGCTCATTAATTTTGTCTTTTACTACTCATCTCACTTCTCTTATCTTATATCAGCGAAGAAATGTGTTTAAACTCCAGTTAAAAGATTTCGGAGGCCTCACTAAAACTAACGTTATTTGGGCTTCTAGTCCTGCCACAACAACCAATGGCTTTTCATAGAGAGTACCACCCAATCCAATGCTGGATAATTTGGTTTTATCAACTGAGTTGATGACGTAAATTGGCCACCGTAAAGAGTTTCAAAGCCAATGTCTCGAGCGTTAGCCCTTTCCTCTTTATCCTGTTATACTCCCTGTTAAAAAGACGAATTGTAGCGCCTTAGAAAAACGAACACAATGATTATTAATTACGAAAACGGTTACCCGTTTCGTTTGGAGTAATCGACAGAGAGTGACACCAGGTCGCATACGTCATGTGACAACACAACGTCAACATTTTTCGTAAGCGCCAGGATAACAAGTGATTACGTTATTGTCTTTGTCCGTGGCTTTCATTTTTTCTAGCTAATTTTTTGCGTCTTCGTAGCAATCAAAAGAAAGAAAAGCAAAAAAAATAAATAAAACGGGAAGGATCGCCAACGGCAATACACTGAAATTTGCATACAACTTGATTAAATTTATGTTATGAAATACCTGGATCCTCCAAATTTTCCCCTTTTAAAAACGTTGCTGTCTGAAACAGCCTTATACAACGTTAATGTAAAGTTCGATTAAAAAAAAAAAAGTCTGATAATATTTATCTAATTTACGTATATCTTTTACCTTTATGTACGGTATAGTCGCTAAAGTCGTAGAAATTGCGGTGTCGTTTGTTTAGGTAGTTGCAGTAGGTCGGTGAGTGTTTCCGTCGTCAAAGTATTCGTTCTCGTCGGCTAAGCTGTCTGTCGTGTAGCATACTGGTCGCTCTTGTCGTATTAGAATCTTAATTTTCGTGGCTTTGTGTGATGTAGCCCGATGAATCTTAGTAATCTTTCGGCATGGGTCGTTTCCTGTAGACTGTTTTCCGAAGTGAGATGTCGTCGCGGCTTACCAGGTAGTCTATAAAAGGAAGTTTCTCATTTTGAAAAGGAGCAAGACCTTTTCAGTATGCAATTTTAAATCTTTTTATTTGACCCGCAAGATCTTTACGAATGAAGAAGAGACAAACCTTTTCACTCGTCTAGGCGGCCTCTTTTTCCGACCCAGTAGGTCCACTTGTCACGCTGAACATTTAAGAAGGCAGAAAGAAGGTTGCAAATGCAGGCTTTAATCCATTGGCTGAAGATAAGAGACATTTGGATTGGTTAAACGGGAGGTACATCCTTTTCATGTCAAAAACATATTCCAGTGGAGACGCATTCCATGATAAAGTGGTTGCGCCGTCCCACCACAACACGAAAACAATCGCTGTTGAAAAATACCTTTTACCACCCTTTCAGGACCTTTAACCACACGAGCGACAGCGACCTACCAGAGGATACTCAGGAAGCATTACTGATAATACGGCCGGTCATTCTGATTGTCACAGCTTTCTGTCTGGATTAATGCTCATTCAGTGAAGGTTTGTTTTGCACCTTGAGTAGATCTCCAACAAGCCTTTCTTTCCACTTGCACTACAAATTCTTCGAAAAAATAGTAGTTTTATTTCCGCGTAGATAATCATGCATTTTTCTATTTTTGCTGTTGTTGTTGTTGTGTTTTGTATCTATTACTTTATCTATTTACCTCAAAGGTTCCTGTAGTGTAGTGGTTATCACATCCGCCTCACACGCGGAAGGTCGCAAGTTCGAGCCTTGCCAGGAACAAAGTTATTATTTTATATAGTTTCAAATTCTGTCAAAAAAATCAAAATATCATTAGACTTTTATTTTCACAAGAACCTTTCTTTATTTAGAGGTCATTAAGACTGAGATAGACCAAAATGCTTAAAGATTTAATTTAGGCACATGTTCACCTACCGGTTGCAAATTAAATTGATGTCAGCTGTGTCACAGACACCTCACACAACACAAAAAAAAAATAATTCCACAGCTACGGATCATTGAAGCAGGTCATAGAGAGAAGGATAGAACTGACTTCGCAAGAGGCCACAAAAAATGACCAAGTAAAAACTGGGGCACCTACCGTCCAAGATGGAGGTCGTGGGTTCAATTCCAATCAGTGCCTTTTTCATTTTTTTGCGAAAAAAAACATTTAGCGAACTGCACCCAATAAGTCAGTGGGAGTTAGTAAAACAACTACTACTGTCATCTTTACGAGCAGAAGGAAAAATAAGATATACATTGCTATACAGCAAGAGTTTGGCAATTCACAAGATTGAAATTTTACAAGTACTAGCCCTTATTTGTGCGGTCCAGAACTCATAGAATGACGACAGCCAAGACAATCTCCCTCTATCATCTCGAGAAGAATCTAAACTATACGACAAAATAGATTACATTTACTTCCTTTGATGACACTGGTCGGGTTGTTTCTGTTTCCATTTTCACACGCGCTTCACAAAAATTTCAAATCTGCTGTTTTTCCATGAATAACACAAAGAGTTTTTAACTACATAAAAATGGGAGTTTTCTAATCACCTGTAAATGAAAAAGTAATATCTCCCCGGCGGGGAATCGAACCCCGGTCTCCCGCGTGACAGGCGGGGATACTCACCACTATACTACCGAGGAGCTCTGTAGCGATAAGATATCGATGTATAATAGGTGCCCTAGAGAACCAGTAGTTTTGAAAACAATATTTAGGTTCCTTTAGATCTTTTTGTCATTATGACTTTCCGAACAAAGAAGAAGCTAACCGCAGAACATATATTGAATTGATACATGCCAGCTTTTATGTTCCTGTTAATTTTAACTTTTAGATATGCGAAGCAGCCAATGATGTGGAGATTTGATATGCACAGTTCGTGGTAAGGGCATTATTAAAGATGGCGGGCCGATTTTGGATCACTAAGGGAGGAATTTTTCCTGGTACAGCGGAATCATTGGCTTACGTAAAAACAGCCACGAGTTCATCATAGTGTTACTTTGACTCGTTTTACGTTCCGTCAGGGAGATTTTCCTAATTAGAAAAAGGCGCTGATGGGGTTTGGACCCGCAAGTTTACTAGACAAGCAATTGTCACCACAAGCCTGGACTATTTCAGGATTTTTTTAAGTAACGTACAATACTGATGGGCGAGATTACTTTGTATTTCTATGCCCTTGATCATAGTTTTCGGTCATCAATGAAACGTTAGCGCATGCACGCCAGGTATGACTACAGTCCAACCGATGTAAATGTTACCTACTTCTATTTTTTTTCCTTTATTTTTTTGTTTTGAAATTGCATCTATCCCCTATAGATACTCTCAACTGACAAAATACCACAGAAGTGAAACAATGCATAGCCATATCACAACTGTCCGTTACCACGACAAACAGCAACAACAACATCATTAACTCCTTCAGCATCTTATATTGCCCAGATTGAGAAACTTATTCAAGACATTAAAAAGGGACAAGGCTCAAGCAGCTGGTTCGCCTGTATCCAGACTTCCTCCCACCTCGGGAAAGAAGCAAAGTTAACTGATCGTGAACCTTATTGTTTCTAACGCAAAGTCAGAGAGAATACCTTGTTGATGCACTCAAGACTACAAAAGGAACATTGGAATAGAAGACATAGGATATACCAAAAGAATTCCGTGATCACGCTTTTCATTCATTTTATCGAGGCAACCACAGTCGGATAAGAAAAAAGAAAGTCATCGAGGGCACAGCAGAGGTAATCTTTGTTCACTTTGAAGGTGATTATCTGTCAATTGTATTGCCGAAATGGAAATGTGTCTTGCTTCAAGGCAAATGGAACATGCTTCAAGGAAACTGGGTCGAACGGGGAAATGTGTGGTGCGTCAAAGCAGATGGATTATACTGCAGGGAGACTGGGTCGTACGGGGAAATGTGTCGTACCTCGAGGCAGGTGGATCGTACTTCAAGGGAAATGGCGAGGCGTGCAATACTAGTTTACGACGCGAAGGACAGCCTATCCAACTAAAAAAACAAATACGTTGACCCTCTCCTTTTTTTAATATAAGAAAAACTAAAACGAAGACTTCATTCGACAGAACAGGCAAGGACCTACTGAGTTCCTTATTGGTGCGCTTGCTGGTCGTACTGGACAAGCCATGCCATACCAAAACTCTCTTGATTTAATAATTTTTTTTATCATATTGCGTCTTTAATACTTACTTAGTAAAACTGACCTTTCGTGATAATATTGAATCATTGATTATAAACGGCGGGGCCGCTGAAAGCAAGCAAGATAGAAATAGGATTGGGGAATTAGCTCAAGTGGTAGAGTGCCCGCTTTGCATGCGGGATGTACCGGGATCGATACCCGGATTCTCCATTTGTTCCCATATTGTTTATTCTTTTAAAAAGAAAGTTTAGCCGCTCTTTGACAAAACTGCGTTCTGAACCATCTTCAATTAAGCCGCACTTTTTATCTCAACATTTATTTTTTAAGTCAAAAGGGCTGAAAGCTGATAGTGCGGGGACATTTATTCAATTAAATCAACCCTCTTATAGAGAATCCCTTAGGCCTACTGGTTGCGTAAAACCGCGATTTGGTTTAGTCCTCGTGTAAATAACCGGCCCCAAATGTCCAAAGAAAGGATCACCGAGCGGATACCGTGGCTAAAATTACTTTTATAACTCGCGTGTATCGTCACTGCACAAGAATTGATGAGGAGGATAAAGACCCTTTCGCAACTGTGTCTGAGAACGTATTTTTCTCCTCGAACGTCGTTGAGTTAGTTCATTGCAGTATTATGAGTATCGCTATTCTCCAGGTATCGCTACAAAGAAGAAAAAAGATCAATATGTAGATAATGATTATAATAATGCTGATAGTTAAGATAATAGTAATAATAATGATAGAAATCTGCAAAAATCTGAGAGTATTTACAGTACTAAAAGAAAAGTAAACTATGTACAGATAATTGAAACCGTGTCTTTCGACTTTGAAACTATAGCAGATTTTGAACTATGGACATATTTGCAAAATAATAACTTTGTTCTTGGCAAGGCTCGAACTTGAGACCTTCTGCGTGTGAGGCGGACGTGATAACCAGTACACTACAGGAACCTTAAATACGAAAAACTCATTGATCTTATCAAACTGAAATAAATAGATAAAGTAATAGATACAACAACAACAATCTGTGACTAGGGAATTAGCTCAAGTGGAAGAGCGCCCGCTTAGCACGCGGGAAGTATTTAACTTTGTCAGTTGCTTATATTTTGACGCAAAACCTCTGATGGTCATTCAGATGCGTTTAGAGCTTGATATGATTCCAAGGGTTCGATTGAGCAAAGCTGGCTGGCTGTTGATCAAAGGTTAGAGGAATGAAGTCCACATTTAGCACCAAAATTATATTTTTTTAATCGATTGCATTTTGCTTGTTAGGACGTGATATCAATTCTAGTCGATCCCGGTACCAATTTCTTTACCAGCTCAAAGTCTATTAAGCCACTATTAAAAATTACGTCGGCACTGAGTGAACTATGGTATGGTGGCGCGCAGAAAAGCGTTCACACGGCGGTGACTATCGCACCGACTTACTTACTAACTTACTCACTTATACATTTACCCATCCACTCACTCACTCGCTCTCTCACTTACTTTCTTATTTATTTATACTTAATTTTATGGAATGCGGTATATGGGTGTATTTGGTCCGTTCGCTCAGTGGGTAGAGCGTGGTGCTGATAACGTGTACGCAAGGTCATGGGTTCCAACCTCACACGGACCAAATAAAACAATAAGTTGCTTCAATGAAATGATCGAAAAACATGCCAAGACTCATTTGTTTCTCTACAAAAGGTAATTAATTCAATAACGAAGGGGAAAACAAATAATTTGCTTCGATGAAACGATTTAAATGTCAAGACTATTTTTCTATGTTTCATTTCCAAAAAAAAAAATTTTTAAGATTATTAGTTCCATAACTTCATACAGCGGGGTGCTCGTTGGAATCTGTGGTAGGGATTTACCACCAAGTTCTTTTAAGCCTGACCCTTACTTAGACCAACCATGATTTCATACACTCCTACTTTTTTCAGACCTAAATATATACTGAATGACTAATTTTCGGTACTTCTCTTTCTTTTGCATTTGGACTTAAGCAAATAAAGTCGTTGGACGTTCTTGCGATTCCCTTCAAAACCATTTAAGTGCACAGACTGTAATGGATCGATACCCGGATTCTCCAATGGCGCCTTACATTTGCCTGATTCGTCTTTTGAGAAATGTTGCTTATGCATGGCTCAGGTTTATTTCGAATATATTCTTTTTCTAATAGACCTCTTTCACTCATTAATCTTCTCTAGAACTAAAGAAGAGGATCAACACCATGTGAAAAAGCCACAGACTTAATGTATTTGCCCCATAGGATCATTATCTGCCGAACATAAAAACAAAACTTGTACAGATGTGGGTGGAATCCTCTTTTAAATCGGTAGACCAACTGCTCATGTGGAAAATTTAAGAAAGCAAAGGAGGAAGAGGTATCAATGTAAGTCACGGTTGAAAGAAATGGTTCTCTCCATTGACAAGACGGAAGTACCTGACTTTCATGTTAACAGAAAATTACGGTTGGGAAGGTAGATCTTCAGAGGTCAATTTGTGAAGCTGATATGTAAGGCCCTCTTAAGTCTAGACAGGACAGGTCGGAAGGTCTGACCTAGCGATAACGATCCACGACCCATCTCGGAATTGGTCGACCGTCTTAAAAGATTCTAAGAAAATAGAAACATACGAGGGGAAAA